GTTTAGAAAATAAACGTCTCAGTTTCTCTGCTACTCCCTCAACATACGGAATGACCACTGGTCTGGGTCTGGGTTCCTCCTTTTCACCTGTTGGCTGACTGGAGTTCTGTCAGTCATCTCCAGGCCAGAGGTCACTCTTTCAGGGATGAAGATGTTCACATCCTGGACAGAGAGGAACGATGGTTTGAGAGAGGAGTAAAGGAGGCCATCTTTGTGAAAAGAAACCGTCCATCATTAAACAGGGGTGGAGCCTCCAGGTTCAACTGTCCCCCTCTTACAATGCTGTGATTGCTAGTATCACTCAGCCCTCTGTGAACAGTAAACAGCCATCAGGTGCTAATGATCCATTGTTAGGCTGATGGTCCTTCTTGAGCATGTGATCAGCTGGTTCTGGTTGTCAGCAGCAAACTGGTTGATCCACTCTGAGAAGGTGCTGTTTACTGACCTCCTGCACAGGAGAGATCATCTTTGGGCCGCAGCAAGAAAATCTGACTCAGACACTGATTGGTTGAGTTTTCGACAGATGAGGAATAAATGTACAACTGCTGTCAAAGCAGCAAAACGAAACTATTTCTTATCTCAGACTTCCAAAAATCTAAATGACCCTAACAGATTCTGGAAAACAATTAAATCTCTCTCAGGCACCCCCCAATCATCTGACCTCCCATCACAACTTCTCGTTAACTCTGCTCCTGTGTCAAATAAGCACGAGATCCTGAACTGTTTCAATAAACATTTTGTTGCTTCTAGTTCTTTATTTGACACAGTTACTAATGGAAGATCAGCCACTTCACTTAATAACCAAACTTCTACAAATCAAATCCCTCCTACAAGTCAATCCTCAGTTAATCACAGCTTCTCTTTTTCTCCATTCTCAGTCAGTGAGGTCAATAAACTGTTAAAAGATCTTGATCCTAAAAAATCTGCAGGTCCAGATGAACTTCCACCTTATTTCTTAAGGCTGGCTGCTCATATCATCACAGTCCCTGTGACCCACATCTTCAATCTCTCCATGAGACAAAACTCCATCCCAGACACTTGGAAAACAGCCTTTGTTCTTCCTTTGCTGAAGGGAGGTGACCCCACCTCACTGAACAACTATGGACCAATCTCTAAACTCTGTATTTTAGCCAAGGTTCTAGAAAAACTGATAAACTCTCAAATCAAAGATTACCTGGACTCATTTAACATCTTACCTCCACATCAATCTGGTTTCAGGAAACAACACAGCACAACCACTGCTTCACTGAAGGTTCTTAATGACGTTGTTGAAGCACTGGATGCTAAGGATTATTGTGCTGCACTTTTCTTAGACCTGTCTAAAGCTTTTGACACTGTGGATCAGAACATCTTGTGTCATAAACTCTCAGAAATCGGTTTCTCAGATCACACCATTGGTTGGTTCTCTATCTTTCAGACCGGAGGCAATGTGTTCAACATAATGGTACTTCCTCCAGTTATTTAACAGTCAACAATGGTGTACCACAAGGCTCAGTCTTAGGACCCACCCTCTTTACAATCTACATACATAATGTAGGTCAGAGCATCCCTGATGCATCAATACATTTCTATGCTGACGACACAGTTGTTTATTGCAGAGCTAAAACAGTTGCTAAGGCTTTCCAGCTTTTGAATTCTGCATTCAACATCATCCAGACTGATTTGTTTCACCTCAAACTTGTCCTAAATGCCGACAAAACCAAAGGGATGCTTTTTTCAAATAGGAAGTCGGTCCCAGCAGTTCTTCCTCCGATTTTATCCTCAAATGGTGTCCCCATTGAGTTTGTTGATTCCTATAAATATTTGGGTATCTTGGTCGACTCACATCTCTCTTTTAAGCTCCATGTGGAAAACTTGGTAAAGAAACTGAAAGTTAAACTGGGTTTCTTTTTCAGAAACAGATCCTGTCTAACCCTGAATGCTAGAAAACGCCTTGTATCTGTGACTTTCCTTCCCTCAATTGATTACGGTGACATTATTTACATGAACACTCCTACAAGAACCCTGCAGATGTTGGATGCTGTCTATCATGGTGCACTAAGATTCATAACTGGCTGTGATTATCGTACCCACCACTGCACCCAGTATTCACTGGTTAACTGGTCACCATTAACTTCACACAGACTCTCTCACTGGTACATTTTCATCTTTAAATCACTTCTTGGTCTGCTGCCTTCATACATCTCCTCCTACATGTCTCTGTGTGAGTGCAGCTACAGCGTGCGCTCTCAGGACATTATTACCTGCAGTGTTCCCTCAGTGAGGACTGAACTAGACAAAAGGACCTTCTCCTACTCCGCTCCTGTTTCCTGGAATATCTTGTAAAAACATCTGAAGCTCTCGACCTTTGACCTCTCTGAGTGTCTTTAAGAATCTGTTGGACTCCTGGCAGGGACCAATGCAGACATGTTCCTGTTTATAGTTTTCTACATTTGTCTTGGAATCTAGCTGTTTTTTTTTTTTTGTCGTTACCTTTTCCTTTTAGCCATCCTATTTGTTAAAAAAAAAAACATGTATTATGACTGTTTATAATTGTTTATTGTTGTTGCTGTTGTCCATTGTTGTCATCTTTCTTTGTTGAAATCAGGTCTCTCTTGTAAATGAGTCCTCGAGGCTCAATGGGATTTACCTGTATAAATAAAGGTTGAATGATTTAAGAGACTGAGCTGAATACAGCTCCTCAGACTGAGGAAGTCTCTCGGATGGGAGACGAAACGTTTCTATATTTTTTTACTTTTTATTTTTTTTTTTTGAATGTCCAGAGGACCAGATTGAACTTTTTTGGATAGATCAACTTACAACAAAGATTATTAACAATGTTTTATAGTCTGTAACAGAAAAGACTTAAAGTGCATCAGTTTGCCTGAAATAAAAATATATATTCTTATTTAAACTGTAAACATTTATGACCATTTGATACTGAACAATCAAATTAAATACAATCAATAAATAATAAATTCAAATTGATCAGCAACATTTTAACTCAGGAGTGTTTTATAAAACACTTTGAGCTACAAAACAAAATGAATAAAACAGTTTGTGCTGATTTTTTTAATCAAAATGAGGAAGTCAGGATTAATGGCTGCACTGAGCACGTTTTGCAGTGCACAGATTTTAGAAGCTGAGTTTCAAACATGATCCAGGGGGACGCGCTCACAAGAGAAGAAGCTGACAAGTTGTTTAATGATAAAATATATTTTGTTAGCAAAGAATAGTCCTAACATTTAATAAACATACGTTTTTCCAACAATTAAAAAAAACATCAAAATTGTGCTTTGACAAACTAAAAAACAAACAAAAAAAAGGTTAAAGTGAAAGAGGAATATCTGATCTGTTTCATGTTGCTGCTGATCTGTTTCATGTTGCTGCTGATCTGTTTCATGTTGCTGCTGATCTGTTTCATGTTGCTGCTG